TGGAGCTTGTCATCTCAAAGGCAGTAAACCAAGCGGGCCAGAGGTGCTTCATTGCAGTCGAGAGCTGTGCCACAAAGCAAGCTCCAGTACACAGTCAGAGCAGTGCACGTCATCTGGGGGCTCAGGGCTTCTCTGGGAGTTGGTGCTTAAGCTGAGAGCCCTGAAGGATGAGTTTGGATTAGCCAGAAGAAAGAGGAGCACAAGCAACCTTCAAGGTGGAGGGAATAGCAGCCAGAGCCCTGAGTAGCGAGGAAGGAGGGCCCATCTGAGAACCACACTGGAAGCCAGTGTGGCTCAAGGATGGAGACTGAGGGGGAGGCGAATGGGTCTGCATTTCCCAAGCAGTAGAGCCCTGGGTTCCAGAAACAGCCTTGCAAGGTTCGAGGACACATGAAGGGCCTTGGATTTTATCTTCAGTAGAACAGGAAATGGTCAAGAAGATTTTCAGCAGGAGAGGTGATCTAATTTTCATTTATTTCCTAAAAACTCCCTGAGGCTTCTGTTGTTGGAGAATAGGAGAAGTTATTTGGGGACCTGCTAGGAGGCTATGACGAGAAGTCTAGGTGAGAGATGATGTGGAGCTGGAGAGGGTGAAGAAGGAGCAGATTTCAGGGGCATGCAGGAGGCAGGACTGATAGGCCTGGGTGATTGATGGCCATGGGTGACGTGCAGAGACCCCTCAGGACAGGAGCCCGGTTTCTGATGGGATTAACTGCTGGATGGCAGTGTCCTTTACAAAAGAAGCAAGCTAAAAAATAAAGGGAAAGACAATGGCAGATTCTTGCACACCAATAAGAAGCAGACTAATGCTCTACCTAGATATAGGTAAAGGACCATGAACATGTAGTTCCCAGAAGTGCAGTGGCCAAGAAACATGGGAAAAGGTATGTGGCTGTCACTCAAGAGATGCAGATGAAATAACTAGGCACCATGTACCTATCACACTGACAAAGATAAGAAGGCATGCTAATGCCTAGTACTGGTAAGGGTGAGAAGAGCAGGCGTACTTATCCTCACGTAGTGTGGTGGATGTTAAAAGTTGTATGGTCTAGTGGGGAAGTTAGAACGCTTTTTAAATGTTAAATAACAAAGTCTAAGTACATAATCAAACGGTAATGCAAGCCATGTGGATAAAAATGTTGGAGTATTTACACTAGTGAAAAGTGCGGAATAACTCGTGTGTCCATCAGGAGGGCAGTAATTACATACCTATATGACTGAGTAAGAGCATGCTTTGCTATTTTACTTAGTTCAAAACAGATTAAGGTTAGTACTTATGGGATGATCCTGTTTTGTTAGGTTTCTAAATGTGTGTCATATGGATGTCTATGCGTTGGTATCCATACACAAAGGTTTGCAGAGAAACATCTTCTGTATTGCTAGCTGTAGGTGTGATTGCTTTATTATGTACAAAGGGACTTCAGAAAGTTTGTTGAAGAATGGAATTTAAATCTGGTTCATTTTGGTGCGCAACACTTTTGAGGTCCATACAGTGTGCATTTTCTATGACCTTCTAGAAGACCCGCTCAAGACTTGATTTAAACTTTTTGCACCAAATAAACTCACCTTTTAATTTTATTTTCCACAAACTCTTTGAAGTATCTGCATATTTTGTGTATTTGAGTACATAGAAAACATGACACTACAAAAGGGAAAACAGGGGCTGGCATTGTGGCACAGAGGGTTAAACCACCACTTGGGAGACCTGCATCCCATATCAGAGTGCCCGGATCAAGTACCAGCTACTCTGCATTTCTTTTTTAAGGTTTTATTTATGTATTTCAGAAGTAGAATTATAGTCATAGAGAGGGAGAGACAGAGAGAGAGGTCTTCCATCTGCTGGTTCACTTCCTGAATGGCTGCAATGGCTGGAGCTAGGCTGATCCAAAGCCTGGAGCCAGGAGCTTCTTTCGGATCTCCCATGAGGGTGCAAGAGCCTAAGTACTTGGACCATCTTCTACTGCTTTCCCAGGCCATAGCAGAGAGATGGATCAGAAGTGGAGCATCTGGGACACGAACCAGTGCCCACATGGGATGCCAGCATTGCAGGCAAAGGCTTAGCCTACTAAGGCAAAGCACTGACCTCTACTCTGCCCTTCTAATCCAACTTCTTGCTGATGTGCCTGGGAAACAGCAGATTGTGGCCCAAGTACTTGGGTACCTGCCACCCCCATGGGAGACAGCTGGAATTCCTGGCTTCTGCTGCAACCCGTCCTGGACCTGGATGTTGTGGGCATTTAGGGAGTGACTGAACCAGTGGGTGGAAGATTTATCTGCCTCTGTCTCTTCCTCTCTCTCTGCCTCTTGCTCTCTTTGTGTCACTTCTGCCTTTCAAATAAGAACATCTTTTTCTTTAGAAAAATATTTATTTATTTATTTGGCAGAGTAATAGAGAGATGGAGAGACAGAGAAAGGGAGATCTTCCATCCCTTGGTTCACTCCCCAAATGACCAAATGGCCTCAACAAGGCTGGTCCAATCCAAAGCCAGGAACTTCTTCCAGGATTCCCACGTGGGTGCAGGGGCCCAAGGACTTGAGCATCTTCTGTTACTTTCTCAGGCAGATTAGCAGGGAGATTGTTGGAAAGTGGAGCAGCCAGGACTCGAAGTGGCACCCATATGGGACACTGACATTGCAGGTGGCAGCTTAACCCACTGTACCACAACACCAGTCCCCAAACAAATAAATCTTTAAAACTAAAAGTAAAAAAAATAGAAAACAATATGTCATTGCAACATAACGCAATCTGTAATTGCCGTAAGGGCGCAAGGGGAGGGACTTTCTGAGCTTGGAGGGGAAAGGCTTCATGGAGAAGGTGTCCTTGGGTTGGCAATGAATAATTAGGGTCCTCTTTGTTTTCCTGTCTCTGCACAGCTCTGTGGCCCATATGCAGTGCAGAACTGGGGGATCTACAGAAAGAATGCCTAAGTCAGTTCTCCAGGCCTTTCGGCCTGTTTGCTCTCAGGTCATACAAAATTCATGCCAATTAATTCCAAACCAATGACAGGAAATTGAAGCTTAGCACTCTAGAAAGATTACACGATGGCTTCGATCAGCCTCCGAAACAGTCGCTTTGCCGCTTCCTCCTCTTCCCTGGACTTGGGTGGGATTTGTCCTCCTTTGCAGTGGCAGTAGCTCTCTGGGTATTGTGTTATCTGCCCTTTCTGTCTCCTTGGCTGCAATCTTAGATCTTTGAATGAAGAATCACTTCCAGTTCACATGTTTCCAAACTGGGTTTTGGGAATTAGGCAGCTTCTTACCCGAGTGCTGTTGTGGGGAACGTAAATCGGTACGGGTGTGATCTGGTCACTATGGAGTAGCTGGTGACCCGTACAGCAGAGCAGGGTGACCCTGCCTTGATTTGGAATTGCAGATTTGGTGTGTGGGGAGGAGAGCCGAGCACTGGGTGGGAGGTGGGCCAGTGGGGGCCCAAGTCCCAGGGCCTTCGGATCCTCGCTGTGTGGCCTCTGGCTACTGCAGCATTAGGTGTTTTTATTGCTGCAGCTCAGCAGAGAGGCAGATTTAGGTGTAGACAGGAACCGACACTGGGCTTCCCAAAGGATCATAGGTGCATTCCGGGGAGTTAGGGCGGTGCACAGAGGGGCATGTTCAGTTTCAACATTTATTTTACTGAGTATCAGAAACATATGCATGAGCAGTACTGGAGCCTGTGACTTCCGGGCTATTGCTACACAGAGTGGCCATGATTACACATTAAGTTGCTGGTAGTCCTTTTGCCTTTAGAGAATCCTTCATGGTTGCAAGAAGGGGCAGAAATAAACAGCTGTAGGAACTGAAGAAAATCCCTTAAAAAGGAAGTTAAAAAACAAAAAAACAACAACCACGAGCTGACTAGGAAGAATCAATGCCAGTGGAGGTGACCCCCAGAGGTGCAGGAATCGTGAGCCAGGGGCCAGCACCGCGGCTGCAGGCCTTGGGCAGCTGCTGAGCCTCACCAAGCTGCAGTCTTCCCACTGGGAAATCTCCCGTGGGGATTTGGATGCGCCAGAGCATGTGCACAGATACTGTTGGCTCAGTAGCTGTCACGTAGTAGGGACTCATAGATGAGTTTCCTGGCCTTGGCCTTGGCCTTGTCTTTTTAAGTTGAAAGGTTTGTCTGTGAATGGTTAGTCCAATGGAAGTGAGAAATCCCAGCCATGGAGAAGACCTGTACAAGGCCCCCTGATGTGATGTTCTCATCCCGCGGGCTCTGGTGTAGACTCTGCCTGCCAGGGACCAGACCCCGGGCCTCCGTGACAGAGGGATGAGGATGAAAACTAAGACTCAAGGGCACCGGTTACCGAACGCTGGGGGCAGGAGGGGCGGTCCTGCTTGGCCTGGTTCTGTTCCGGGTAGGGTGTCCTGGAGGCCTGGCTCTGAAAAATGGTAGACCCATTGTACAGAAGGAAAAAACAAGTGGGGGAGTTTCTCCCAAATGCTGAAAGTGAGTGTGTTGAGCACTTTGCCTTGCTCCATTTCTCCTAGTGTTCTCAATGCCCTTTCTATTTTGATGTCTGTGGAAAGTTAGGAGTTAAATGAAAAATGGTCTGAAGGCTAAACTCTCTGTGTTGAGACTCTGCCACTCATGGACCCCCTGCTTGAATCCTAAATAATTATCACGTGTGATTTATTTATTTTCTTAAATGTCATGGAATCTCCCAAAATTTGTGGAAAATGGAATTAAAAGATAAATTGATTTGGATGAAACAAAAATATGAAGCCCATGCATTTTTTTTTAGTAATTCTCATTTTCCATGCACTTTTTTGGAAATCTCTCGTCTGCTTAGCTTTCAAAATATTTTGCACCAAAATAAGTGTATCTTTTGATTCCATTTTCTGTGAGCTTTTTGAAGTGCCCTCATGCTTCCCTGACCATTGGCAATGCTCCTAGTACCATTGGCTCATGAGTAGCCAGCAAACAATCTGATATATCAATCCGGTGATGTTTTTCCATGCAGAGGTCTCAAAGGATTAACTGTGATTGTCTTCTTGTTTTGCAGATGGAAAAGCTGAGAATCAGAGCGGGCTAGTGATCTCCAGGACACGCGGTCAGTAGGTAAGGGATGATGTGGACGGCAAGCCTGAAATAGGAGATGGGCCGGTCTCCGCGACCTAACCCCTGCTGCACTCCTTGGTCCCAGTCTTGTGACTTTTCTCCTTTGTGCATTTTGAGCCAGGAAATAAGAGGAGCTTCTCTGGGGCATTGGGGTGTCCTTTGCAGCTGAGGTTTCTGTGTGTGCCCACCATGGAGTTGGAGTGTTCAGCCAGAGAGTTTATGAGGTCCTCCTGGCTGTTGCCTGGCCCCTACTGAGGCTTCCCCAGGCTGGCAGCGCTCATCAAAACCTGCCTCACTCCCTGTCCCTTCAAGAGACCCAACCATTTGCTGCCTCTGGAATGGAGAGTGCTGGAGCATGAGTCACGGGCCCTGGGCTGGAGTCCCCCTGGCACCTGCTCCAGGACCTGAGTCGCTCATTTTCACATGCCTTCTTTCAAACTGTTTTCCCCCAGCCGATGAGGTGCCAGCCTCTGTGTCAGGTGTGGGGATATCGAGAGAAAATGCCAAGGAGCTCCCAGCTCAATGTTCTAGCGTCTCTGTTTCCTCCTTACGGGCTCCCCCCTGAACATTTCTAAGCTGTACTTTGGAGGTTGCTGTCTGGAGTATGCTCTGTGAGGAATAAAACCATGGCTCAGAGTTGGCCCAGGCTATTGAAATATGGAAGGATCAGAACTGGCCTTTGAAATCCAGATTTGCTCACTCCAAAGCATGGGATTCTAATGAGGCCAACTGTTGCGTTGTTGCCGCTGTGGTGCTGGGGAGTGGGGCGCTGTGCGGGATGCTTCTCTGCTCTCTCCTGCATCTGGCTGGGGGTTGCACTAGGTAGCGCCTTCTCTACCTAGAGTGAAGGCAGTCATGGGCGCTGGGAGAGCTGATGGCGGGAGGGAAACCTGCCCTGTGCTGGGGCTGCCTCCTACCCAGGGCTGGGAGGTAGCCAATCAGAGAGAAGGCACTATGCGCTGAGGATGGATCCCCTCTTCTTATGCAATGAGCCTGCTGAAGCTGCCCCGCTTTGCCACCAAATTTCACCATATTTAACAATCCCGGGCTCTAAAGCAAATGAGATAGCTTCAGCTTTTGTGAAGTTACCTGGCCTCAGGCAAGGCACTGAGAAGGACCTGGATTACAAGTGGTGTTCTTTGTTTACCTGGTGACAATTCCTTGGGCTTCTGAAGCTCAGGAGTTCCTACAAAGTCTGGAATTTCAAAGGGCATGCCAGTAGCCTGCGGGGGAGTAGATGTGCCTGAGCAGTGTCAGGTGTGTGGGGATTGTGTGGAAGGTGGGTGCGCATGCGTGGGGCAAGGGGTTCATGGGGAGTGTGTGTGTTGCGCACATGTGTGTTTAATCCCTAAGAGAGCCTTCTTGGGAAAAAGAAACACTTAGGGGTGTAATGTTTCAACAGCCCCAGCAGTGGGCTTTGAACCAGTATCACTGAACAATGTGGGCACAAAGGGAGGCCAGCCATTCTTTCATCCTGGCTCTGATCACGCAGCCCTTCCCCGGGGTCAGATACAGATGCCTGCTCTTTAGATTGATCTCTCCAAAGCCCTTCGCCCCCTTCCTGCCCTCCACAGCCCCCGCTCCCGCCCCAGCGCTTGTCTGATGCCTCTCGCTTGGACAGGGCTGGTGGAGGGGCTGGGGGGCTGACAGCTGCGGCTCTGCCTGGAAATGGAGTGCCCCGTCCAGGCAGGAAACTCGAAGGTCTTTTTTGAGGGCATGCTCTGAGCTCAGAGATTCAGGGTACCCTCTGCAGGTAGGGTTTCCCCTTGGGTGACGTGGGAGGAGGGGCAGCTGCGGTGAGAGGCAGGTCTTGCTGTGGACTGCAGGGCTCTGCCAGGGCTCCCAAGGAGAGCTAGTTTCCCAGAGCGATTATCTTTCCTGAGCCGGCGGCCAGGTGCTCTGAGACAGGAAGCCAAGTAGGCTTAGCAACAGACTTATCAGGCCGCACTACAAGAATGTTCGCTCGTGTCAACAGGTCTGGCTTTGTGCAGTTTCGTTTCTCTCTGTGCGTCGGCTCAGTTCCAGGGGCTGCTGTGTTGTGATTTGCATGGCTCCTTGGCAGAGGGAATGTGGATCCCGAAGCGCGCAGCTCTGCTTGCATCATCTGTGTCCATCCCCACAGTGGCCTGCGTGGGGCCAGTGTGCGGGAGAGAGGCAGCCCGTGTCTCATTCTGCAGGCTGCGATTGTCCACCGCGGGGCTTGTGCCTTGCAGAATAGAACAACCCTGTGTTTGAGCCCTGGCTTGGCCTCTCCACAGCCAACCCATTCAACGTGTCTGTGCAGCTTGCTATAACCTGTGTTGAAAGTATATCCTGCCCGAAGTCGAGAGTGAACTGAAGCTAACATCAGCTATCACTGCACCTGCCAAGCCAGGTGCCCCACAGGGCTGCAGCTGCCCAGAGAAAGAAGCATCTTTCTCTAGTCCATACCAAAGCAATAAAGGGGCTGGTGGTGGCCCTCTCCCGTTCAGCCTTGGTTTCTCCATCTTTTAGGTAATAGGTTGTATGGGGGGATGGGTGATCATCCTCAAGGTATCCTTGACGGTAACAGGCTGATAAGTTGTAGCTGTATTAGGAGTTGTCACAGTAGCAATAGTAGCAATGATGTCAGTCACGCTCGTGTCTTGTTTCCCTACTACTTTCTGTTTCTCTAACGTCTTTTGTATTTGGTTCTCTTGCCAATCCTGCATTAAAGACAGGGCCCATGTTGTGGTGTAGCAGGTGCCTGTGATGCCAGCATCCCATATGGGTGCTGGTTCGAGTCCCGCCTCCTCTACTTCTGATCCAAGTCCCTGCTAATACACCTGGGAAAAACAGTGGAAGGTGGTCCAAGTGCTTGGGCCCCTGCACCCATGTGGGAGACCTGGAAGACACTCCTGACTCCTGGCTTCAGCCTGACCTAGCTCCAGTTGTTGCAGCCATTGGCAGAGTGAATCAGCTGATGGAGGAGCTCCCTCTCACACTCTCTCTCTCTCTCTCTCTCCCTCTCCTACCTCCTCCCCTCCCTTTTTCTCTGTAGCTCTGACTTTAAAAATAAATAAATAAATAAATAAATAAATATTTTGTAAAAAGTCAGGGTTGGGATTATTCTTGAGTTTAGACAGAATAAGAAATGGGGACAAAGAGAGATGTGAGGGGGCTTACCTATTGTCAGTCCCTGAAGACCTGACCGTGAGAAAGGGCAGCCACCCTTGCCATGGTGTAGTTAGGGGATGCAAGACTGGGTGTTCCTGGGGCATCCCAACACATCGTTACTTATCCCTGAAGCAGGAGCCTTTCTCTGCCTTCATTCCCCATCCTTGTCAGCTCCTTGGTCCTGGAGGGCCTGCCCTATTTGGAACATTCTGCCTGGTTCTTGCCAGCAGCTCCATTAGAGAGACCAGTTCCAGTGTTTGTGGCAGAAGTCATTGGCTCAGAGCTGGCTCCGTGCCAGATATGCCACTGGCCATCAGTGCTGCCATACACCTCAAGTGACCTTGTGGCCTGCATCTTCAGAGCACCCCAGGAAGACTGTCCAGGTGTAGGGAAGGAGAGCAATCCAGCACCAGCCTTCCAAATATCCTTAGTCACTGCTTCAAGTACTTATTCAACCCATCTGGCCAATAGCATTTATTAAGCACCTACTGTGCACAAGGCACTCTAGTGACAACTTATGCAAAGATTATTCTTTTTTATTTTTAAATATTATTTATATGAAAGGTAGAAACACAGAGGAGAGGGAGTGGAAAAGAGGGAGATAGAGAGAGAGAGAGAGACAGACAGACAAAGAAATCTTCCATCCACTGATTTACTTCCCAAAAGGCCACAATGGCCAGGGCTGGACCAGGCTGAAGCCAGGAGCCAGGAGCTTCTTCCAGGTCTCCCAGGTGAGTGCAGGGGCCCAAGCACTTGGGGCATCCTCTGCTGTTTTCCCAGGTCCATTAGCAGGGAGCTGGATCAGAAGTGGAGCAGCTGGGATCCAATCCTGTGCCCATTTGGGATTGCCAGCACTGCAAGTGGGGCTGAACTTGCTACGCCACAACACCGCTCATGATATTATTTCTAACTTTTGTAATTTCAAGAAAAGTAATTAACATGCCTCAACTTACATAATTATTTAGTGATACTGCTAAGGTTTGAACCCAGGCATTTGGATTACAAAGGTTGTGCAACGGACTTAGATAAAGCCTGTAGCACAAGATGACTAGCAACCAAAAAGGTGGGGTGGTGGGGGGCTATCACTTACCAGTAATCACTTGGGGCAGATGTTTAGCCCAGCAGTTAAGAGTGCCTGGGTTCAAGTCCTGGCCCTGCTTCCAAATGATGGCTCATTGCTTGGGTTTCTGCTATCCACATACTCCCAGCTTTGGCCTGGTCTGGCCCAAGCTGTTGCAGGCACTTGGAGAGTGAACCAGTAGATGGAAGATCTCTGTCTGTCTCTTAAGTTAAAATTAAATAACTAAATATTTGAAATATGCCCATTTTTGTAAAAAGTAATCGATAAAGCACTTGTCATCCTGCATCCTGTGGTTCTTCTGTGGTCCTCTCCCATTCCACTGAGTTTCTTGGGGTAGAAACATGGCCCCTAGCAGGATACCAGGTTGAAAGCAATTGATCAATAAATATTTGAATGATTAACAATATTAAGAATGGCTCAATCAATGACTATGTGCTAGATATAGTACTAACTCCCTTATAAGTTTTATTTTGTTGAATTCTTTTTTTTAAAGACTTATTTATTTATTTATTTGAGAGGCAAAGTTGCAGACAGAGAGAGGGAGAGACAGAGAGAGAAGTCTTCCACCTGCTGGTTTACTTTCCAGATGACCACAATGGCTGTAGCTGGGTCAATCCAAAGCCAGGAGCCAGGAGCTTCTGGGTCTCCTATGTGGGTGCAGGGGCCCAAGCCCTTGGACCGTCTTCCACTGTTTTCTCACATATATAAGCAGGGAGCTGGATTGGAAGAGGGGCAGCTGGGACTTGAACTGGTGCCAGTATGGGATGCTGGTGCCACAGGTGGA